GGAGTCAATCCTTACGTCGCGGGTTCGAATCCCACTGTTGGACGTGGAGACCGGTCCTTCGGATGAGACCGTATAAACCGAGGTCCCGCGTCGCAGTAGGTGCTGGCACGAAAAAGATCCCTCCCTGCTCAATGAACCTAAGTGCCGAGCATAGGACAAAATTTGCAGCTCGCCACCAACAAGTGGTGGCGTCTCCATATGAGTGAAAAATTCTCGAGAGGGACGTTCAACAATATACAATCAATCTTTAAGCTGGTCAGATACGGAGCTGTGTGCGTTCTTTCATACAGTGCCCCATTGCTGATCTTGTTCGGTCAGAAAATGTTGTCAAGAGTATTCTACGGAGACATCTTGTTTGGAAAGTGTTTAGTTTTGAGTGATGTTGTCTGATTTAAACACATTTTATGGAATAAATGAAGAGGATTGGAAAAGTTCTTAAAAAACTCTCTGGTTTATCTCCCTATATGTAACACTATGTCATCAAAACGATACATTAAAATATAATATGTTCAAATTATATGAGTGAATAGCAAGTCAATATAAAATCTACGTGTTTCATCAATAAATTTATGGACAGCAGCAAAATTATCATTAGTTGATACAGGCAAATTTTATCACCCATAATAACATGTTTGTGTCAACTGTAACCAACTCTTTAAGCACAAACAGGTGGTTGGAAAGATTGTTTCTAGCATTTGCATAATTTTTACAAGAAAAAAAAAGATAATTAAACATCTTCATATATTCCACATGAACAAAGAGGACTGCTGATAATATGATCATTAAGTAAACAGTTCTGTCTTAGTTAATTAAGTATAAATTATGTGTATAGGGTTTGCCAAAAGAAATATACTTCGGCGGATTGATAATTTTTGTACAAGCTCGTAAGTCTTTACGGAATGAATTAATTGAAATATCTTCTCTTGTTTCTAATTTTAATACGTTCCCATACTTTACAGCACAAATGGCCTTTTGAACAGTTCTAATCTATATCTTGGAATAACAAACTGTCTATATTGCAGGTATTGTATTTTGATACATTTTCGTGCTTGTTTGTTTCAATATTAATCAAATATTTAGTGACAAACCCTTTATGAATTTTGAACAGAGTAGTCATTTTTGCAATATAGCGCTTTAATATTGAAGTTTCCCAACCGTTTCTGAAGAAAGGATTTCAGTAGATGCAAAACAAGGAAGTCCTGTGATGTAGTGTCACCTTCCAGGACTCAGATCCATCTAGTAGGACTCCAATGACACTTGTTTTGAATATCCTTATTTTGGTTCGGATGATTGAAGATTTCCAGATGTTCTTGCCGACAAAGGTTGCACAGAATTTTGAAATTCTATGTTCAATGTCCATGGTGGAAACCCCATTGTCTGTGATATGAAATTATCTAAATCTTCTATTCTGTTGTTCTAATATTTGTTATACCCCCGCTCCGAAGGAGAGGGGGGTATAGTGTTTTACCCTTGTGTGTCTGTCTGTCTCCCGTAACAAATACTTGGTTGCAGTTTTATCAGCAACTACTCGATGCAGATACTTGAAATTTTAGCCATTCTTTGCTGAGGCATGCCATATTGTGGGATTCATTTTTGTGCAGATCCGATGTCAACTCTCCGTTTATCCGTGCGTCTGTCAATACGGTACATAAAAAAATCGTCATCATTAAAGTCATCATTTCGTAAATTCTATGGTCGATACAATGACCTTGTCAGCAAATACAATTTATCATTGAATGAAATGCTGACTGACGTTTTTCATACCAATTGTTAGTCCATTATTTATACACTGAATTGACCACGGATTTTTTCCGTTATTTCCTGATTATGACAACGAGCACACGGCGGGTGTGACCGGTCGGCAGGGGATGCTCACTCCTCCATGGCACCTGATCCCACCTCTGATGTTTCGGAGGTCCGTGTTTGCTCTGCTCTTATTTTGTATATTTGTTTAATGGACGTTGAGATTGAATACTGTTCGTTATTTCCATATCCTTCGTAATTTTCTTAGCAACTATTCATGTCAACTTCCTGTTTGACTGTGCATCTGACTGTACCACACATAAAAAAAATTCGTCACGGTTTTTTCAGCAACTACCATCGCAAATGCTTGAATTTTTTGCACATTCTATGCTGAGGCATGTCTTATGGTGGTATTCATTTTTGTGCAAATCCGATGTCAAACTCCTGTTAATCTGTGCCTCTGTCCGTTACTGAACTTTGTTTGCACATATTAACACGATAGTGTATATATTAGAGCGGGGGTATTACTAGTGAGCATTGACTCACATACTTCATGTTGATACTGTTTTATGATTGTAAAGGTATTAAGTCAAAAGGTTTTATTAATTGAATATGTTCCGAAGTTTTTGAATGTCGGATTGGAGTAAGACAAGGGGAGGATTTTTACCTTAACTGGTGTTTTTTTTTTTTCAAAAAAAAAACCTCGAAAGAGAACTGAATATATACTTACATCCTATTGTTTTATGGAATATATGTAGATAGTGAACATTATTCAAGCTCAATCGTCCATTTAACTTAATAACAAATCAGGTGCAGAGCAAACACGGACCTCTAAAACATCAGAGGTGGGATCAGGTGCCATGGAGAAACATACCCAGCGGACTGGTCACACCCGTCGTGTGCTCCTTGTAATGATCGGGTTAATAATGGAAAAAGAACTAATTGACAATTCGGAGTGAAAATATATTACAGAACTGGAAAATATGTTAACTGCAATTAAATTGGCGATGAATTTTATTACAAACTTGAATATATACTAAAGAATCTATGAAGAACTCGAAGAGTTCTGTATTTGCCAAAACCAGATGTCGAAAAGAAAATGCTACAGGCATGGAAAATAATCGTATAAAAAAAATATATGTACAGTAATTACGTTATATATTTAAAAGAGAGACTACTGATGATCAAGAGTTGTGCTTCATAGAATTTTTAGCCTATTCACTCCATTCGGTAAAAATGGAAACAGTCATGGAAGATAACCCGAAATTTTGAAATGTTATCGGTTTCAATAATGAAGTTGCTTCCATTTAAAGAGAAAATGTCAATATTGTTTTTATTTTTTCAAAAGTAATGCCAGCACAGACTTCTACCATAGTGTTAGCGCATTTGTTGCATAAAAAATAGTTTCGTTTCGGAGGTTCGTGTTTGCTCTGCTCCTATTTGGTATTGTTTTATGGACTTTTGAGCTTGAATACTGTTCGTTAAATGAAAGCAAATGCAAGGTACATGTAGTTAAAAATTATCTGTAAAGACTAATAAATATTGGAGTTTTTCAGTCTCCAGTGAAAACCACTGAATTTTTTCTCTTGTGAGGGTTTTTCATCTTCTTGATTAGAAGATGATTATTCAGCTCCAACCATTAGAGAAAACAGTCAATTATTTATTAAATACGTATCGGCTATGTAAACTTGATGAAAGGGGCAAATAAGGAAACTATTACCATAACAGTTATACGCCAGTGAACAGGTATTATGTATCATTTAGTTTATATTTTATTCATTTTTTGTTTTAAAAGCTTTGCTAAGCTGTAGTCCACAATTTTGTTTTGTAAAACCATACATAGAGACGACGAACAGTGGGTGATCTAAAAAAAAAAAAAAACTACAATCAAATTTGTAAACAGAATATAAAAAAACGGACCCATAGAAATTCGAAAGGAACGGTGCTAATAGGAAGAGGACCACCCCCTGTTGACCTTCAAACCCGCCGTAAGCCTCTTGTATTGATTAGGTAGATGGAGTTTTCTATTAAATACTAGTATACAACAGTGTACTAAGTGGCCTAAAACAAAAGCCTAACAATCGGTATGAAACACATAAGCCAAATTATGACCTAATGAAACATATGCATGGAGATAACAAACAGTGTTCAAGATCAAAAGTCCATAAAACAATACAATCATCCTCACATTGTCAAGGGTTTGTGATTTCTCGAACTCCACACAAAGTGGAGTTCTAGAAATCACAAACCCTTGACATTGTAAGGATGCAATACAATATGATGGGGGTATATTCAGTAATAGGGTGATTATAACGACTATTAAATTTACGAAATGCTGACTTTAAACAAGGTTATTAAAATCCCTGTAACATCAACTTGTCTGACAGTAACTTTCCTCATTGATCGCACTCAGAGTATATTCCTGAGTATATTGTATGTGAAGAGGTATAAATAAAATTTACATATGCGGGTGGTAGCCCAATAAGGAAATTGATAAAAAGCTTGAGTTTGTCATATATTTAACTATTTTGGGGTTTTCGGCTAAAGTCAGTAAAATATGGCACATTTGGCAAACACTGCGGTGTCTTTAATTTTAAGTTCATTGCCATTATTTGAATGGAAGAAACTACTTTAAATTGATACCGTTGATATATTCTGAGTTAAAGACCTTTACGAGTGTTTTTCCTCCCTTGAAAAAGTTTTTAAATGACTCTGTTTGATAAGAATCTAAAACATTATCGGCAAAAAGTGAGTAAAATAAATCAAATCGAAATTCCAGCTGTTTTTTCTTTGGAAAACCTAGTCTCTGAGACTACATTAATAATGCTAGCTTGGAATTCCAGCATCCCTTCAATATGAATTTCGGAGTAAATGTATAGGATAAGATTGATTTTTAAGAAAGTAATTTCATTGACGACTAATCACAAGATATGACGAAACTCACAAAAACATTACTTGAAACGAGACTTGATAGTCATGTTTCATCAACTTCGTCAATAATTAACCTTGTTTTAGAAATCGTTCATACGTAGAGTATGCTCTTGCAGATCGAATCAACTGAGAAATATAAACCTCATAGGCAGGTGAAAATGGTATATTGCTGCTTTGGTGAGGGAAGTTGATGATAGAAAAGTTGAAGTTGAATCAATTTAATCATAACGCTTGGCTGTTTTAGATGAAATTAGATTACCATGATTAAAGTCTTTTTCTAGTAAAATATCAAATATGAAACAGATGAAAAAGCAATTCTATAAATCTATAACTGAACATATAAATTATTTGTTTTTATTAAATTGTATTTTGTTTTACAACCAGAGAAAAAATGTTTGCAAATATTATAAATGTATATAGAATATGCATAGTTCACGTGCATAAAATCGAGAAAAAAAGCAGAGATGATAAGAGTTATCTTCTAACAAAGGTTCCTCTTGAGGGTCCTGAAATATTGAGGCAGGGAAATCAGGTCGAGAACCACGATTCCCCCAAACACAAACGCCATGAAAGCCACTCCGATCATCCCCACGTTTTTAGCGGAGGGCCTGACGTCAGTGGCGCTGACTTTACGGGCCTTGACGGCAGGTATCTCCTTTTTCTGGACCTCGAGCAGACTCTTCATCGTATTCAGCTCTTTTTCCAGCATCACCAGCAGCTGCTCCTGAGTCTTGTTGATGTAGGGGTTAGAAGCGTTGTTAAAGGACTCGATCTTGTCCATGTACTCACAGTCGCAGTCACACATCTCATCTGGTCCCGCCGTAGTGGTTTCGGCTTCGCTACATACCAGGCAAACGCACCCTAGGAAATATGTCTGATTTTAAAATATCATTCGATATGAAATTTATATTTGTAAGTCCTTGTTAAAACCTTTTTTAAAAAATTCCTCCGCTTTCGATGAAAGTGGGGGGATATTAATTTGGTTCTGTATGTCCGTCCGTCTTCCTCAAACACTTTCGTTTCCGCAGGATATCTGAAGAAGCCTTTGAAATTTAACAATGGAATTTAATCACAGGCACTTGTTTCGATAATAAATTTTTACACAAGGTATCTAACTCCGAATTACACGGAGTACCCCCTCCTGCAGAATCGCATTCATTTACATTTTCAAAGGAATTACACTTACAAACTATTGATATGTATGTCCTCTAATATCTACACAATCATATGTTGCATGCTTGAAAAGTGGGAGAGTATATAGTAATCGAGATTTCCGTCCGTCCGTCCGTCTGTTATGCTTTATTTCTTATCCGCAACTCCTCTTATACTACTGAGTGAAATTTAATGAAACTTTCACAGAATCTTTATTACATATTGCCATTGTGCACCTCCTATTTTACTCTTTTATTCGACACGTATTTTAGGTTTCCCATAGCAAAACATGGACATTGCCATTATATGTTTATCTATGACGTCACATGTAGAAGCTTCTGGATAACATTTGATAGGACGAGTTATTCCTCTTTACACATTACCGTAAAACAATATATAGTAACACATGGACATTATGGGAGGCGGGGGGGGGGGGGAGGGGGTATCATTTAGTGAGCTCATTGCTCACAGTACCTTTAGTTTTCTTTAGCGTCACAACTCTACTCGCCGGATGGAAAAGTCGAACTCAACCATAAAACGGTATGTGCTAATCTCGGACAACGAGCAAAATTATAAAATGAGTGGATTTAAAAATTCAATTCTAGTGTTTTAATATTGCAGCGAATAAATAGAACTTGTTTACGTCTGATTTTTCCTGAAAACATTTCCATGTTTATCTGATCTAATTTTAGAGACAGATTTTTAGCCAATCAAAGTCCTTGTGGGGGATCAGCACAATCATACCGTTTCATGGTTGAGTCTTTTCCACTCGGCGAGCAGAGTTTTCACGTTGTTAACGTAGACAAACGAAAGCAAAGACATGCATGCTTTATATGGTTGTATAAGATAATATATTGTAGAAGACAATGATAATAAACAGATTACCAGTGCGTTTCATCTGAAAATGTAAATGAGTGCGCTTCTGAGGAGGGGGGTACGATTGTTATAGTTCGATACTTTGTGTTATTATTTTTACTCATGGTTTAAAAATTTATTACCAAAACAAGTGCCTGTGAATTTAATATAACAACTAATCGTGACCTTAGAAAGAACCTTATTGATTTTAAGGTCAAGGGTAAAGAAAAAAAAAACTTTTTGTATGTGAAATTTTCATTTCCAAGCGATATCCGAAGAGGCTTTTGCAATGAAATTTTATACTATAACTCCCTACAGCCCGCCCCTCTTAAAGTGTCCCGTCTACCCACCCATCGACCCTTCTAGATCTGCACATGCTTTTCTTTTTTTTTCTTCAGAGATGGACACAAAATCTCTGAATTAGCTTGTTCATACTCTTACAGGCCTAGTGCTAAATGTAGGTTATTTCATGCAGGCTTACTCTTTATTCTACTGATTAATACAATATTAACTCTAAAACTTTTAAAATAGTTTGAGGCTCATTCAACATTAAAACATACGGTTTAAGGAAATCATAATAATATTAATAATCAAGAAAAAAGTCAGACATACTTTTTCTACGAAAACCGGAAGGCTCATTTTTGAAAATATAAAAAAAATCAACTCGTCATGTAACTAGATACATAGAGAGATGCACCACGAACTCGTACTAATGAGTTATAATAATCATATATTTTTTTAAAATATAAATTGTCCTGGTTTCCTTTTCGTCATTTTATATAATTAATCAAATGATTACGTTTTACTTACATATGATACACAGCAGGACTAATTTCTTATCCATCGTACAATGTGTTCGGGGAGAGAATATTCAGACAGATGTTATTTTGACTCTCGATTAAAGTATATGAGACAGCAATCAATGCATTTATTGATCTTTGCTTGAATTTTCAATAATTCAGGGTGTTTTGCTCTGAAAACTGAAAAGCTAAGATGAATTTTTTATTTATGATCAAAAAATCAATTTGTTGGTAAAAAACAGCCTATTTACGTTTCCAGCATTATATGGAAAATAAAACCTCATTAATAAATCAGCATCGTGCTATACCAGCATTAAATGTGAATTAAATTAATATTGTTAACAAACAATTTGTCAGTGAAAAGATGACCTGCACAATTCTAACAAACAGATTTTCAAAAAGATCGGTTGAAGACGGAACTTAAGTTTTTTTTTTTTTTTTTTTTTTTTACGGATAAGATAATTTACTCGTTTTAATTGAATTCCAAAATAATCTATTTAATTCAATCTTGATCATCAATCAGAATTTTAGCTACATATATCGGCTATCATTTTCGACCAAATAGGTTTTTTTTTACAAGACTAGTATTCTAATTCGATAAGAATATTTATTATTATTCATTGTTAGACAAACCACAGTAAAACTAAGATCCGCCAAGGTTTATCTTAGTTAATAAAAGTGGGTTAGAAATTAGGTCGCCATGTCATCCGAGGAGAGACTTAAAACATTTACCTCACTTGGAAAGAAAGTGATGGCGGTAGGGCGAAATTACAGGTAATGCATTTGCTCCGAAAGACCACATGAACTTCACTTTAATGTTAGCACAGGTGCAGATTTAGTGTCATACTGTTATAAAATTAATGGGCAGTAACTCCCATTCATGGTTTTAAAAGCGTTGCTGTTATATAGAGACAGTGTTGACAAGTTCATTCTGCTATTGTAGAGAGACGGGGTTGGAGAAGGTATTGTCGCATTTATTGAAATGTGACGTCGTGGTCTGTAGCGTTGCTTATTTTAGGGAATGAAAGTTAAAAAGAGGAAGTAAATACTCTTCACAAGAAATCATATTTTGACGCTTTTATCGAGATCTCGTAGATTTTAAAGGCACAAGCTATTTTCCCAATTCATGAAATGCACACATATTCACACTCACATGGTTTTGTTTTTTGCTCTAAATACTGTTATTATACCTATTGAGCTTGTGAGATTGGCTTAAACTTTACCAACTATTAATTCTTTTATTATGTTCCCCAAACGGAGTTTGGGAACATATTGTTTTTACTCGGTTTCTTATTATGTTCCCCAAACGGAGTTTGGGAACATATTGTTTTTACTCGGTTTCTTATTATTATTATTATTATTAAGGTCTTCCGTCTCCAACGGAAGACCTTATTGTTTTCGTTCGGTTTCTTTTTCTCTATTATTATTATTATTATTATTATTATTCTTTTTTTTTCTTACCGATTTTGTGCACGCGAGTTCTCGGAAACGGCTTGGTCGATTTTCACGAAACTTTCAGATCTGATAGATATTGGTCTGAACCTTATTGGAAATTTTTTATATGTACGTCGTCACTTCCGGTCGTGAGATATGGACGATTTACTGATTTTCAGAGGGTCAGCTTGTCCTGGCAATCACTAAAAAACGAATGAAGATATTGACTTGAGATTTTCAGTGAAGGTAGAGGAAGGATATCTGCATTGCTTTTTTGAGTCTATATTTTTCTAACGCAAAAAGTGTTGAAGCTTTCTTGAGCTCATTATTATTATTGTTTTTCTGACCATCTAATTTTGTGCACGCGATTTCTCGAAAACAACTGGATGGATTTTCATGAAATTTGCAGGAACAATGTGTTTTTATCGGAAGTTATTTAATCCAAGAGATTTTTTTGGAAATTCCTTTTTGGTGCCAAGTTACGGACAATTTTCTGATTTTAAAATGACATTTTGTTCGCGAATAATCTCAAGAACGGTAAAAGATATCACTGTGAAACTCTCAGGGATTATAGATCGTGATAAGTACTATCCAAGACGCGATCTTTTGTACGTCGTCTCTACTTCCTGTCGTAACGGCATGCAAAGAAAAAAAGTCGAATTTTTCAACTTTTTTGTTTTCCAATATTTTAAAATTATATTAGTATGGCTGATAGAAACATATCTCATTAGGCTGAATATGTAATTTGTTTGTAAAATGATAAATTCAAACTCGAGATATTAACATTCAAAAATATGAAGCGGGATCAAAATGGCGGCGGTCTTTGTCAATTCCGACATTTCGCAATAGGGGTTTACAGAGGCAGCCAAGCGTTTGCTTGAACGAAAGTTACATAAGGAACAATGAAATTTGTAAGGATACTTGGATTGTCACGTCGTAGGTTCGTTGCAATTCTGCGCCAAACTTCATTTATAATCCAAGGTCTCCTTACAAGTCTTCTTTAATTGGTTTTGGTTGGTTCTCAAAGTAGAAATAGAAAAGAATTAATGTGCAAATTGAGTACAATATCTACTATCTTTTGTTTTGCATCACTGAAACACATAACTTAAATCATAGTTATAATTAATAGTTTTTCAAGAAACAAGATATATAGTAAGCACGAAACGTGACCACTGATTTCCCATGCACACTTGTGTCATATTAAACTAATAGAAAGGACAACTGTTACAATAAGAAAACATTTTTTAAAGATAACTATTTTTCAGAGACCTTTAAATTAACCTCTATAAATTTTTTTTTCTCAATGCAAGTTATTGAACATAATGGAATCTTATTCCTTGACCCACGTAGGACGATCGAGGAATTTTTTCGGTGAAACATACCACCTTTTTCATGAAAGTGTAGGTAATCGGAATGGTCCACTTTCGTGATTAAGAAGAATTCTTGTGCTTTTTGACATTTTTATCCTATTAATGTTATTATCCCAACACAGGTCGTATACAACGAGATATCGGACGGAAGACCTACTCGTTGCTCGCAACGAGATCGCATCTAGTTATTATTATTATTCTTTTTTTTCTTCTTTGTTCTCCGGTACTTTTTTTGTCCGCGAGTGTTCTCAGAAACTGTTCACCCAACTAAGTTAAAACCTTTTTAGGGTTAATAGGTGTCAAGTGTAGGTGTGCACAATGAAGGTCATTTTGCGTGCATACGCATGCACGTGCGTGCGCGTGAAATGAGTGAAATGACTGATATACTTATTATAGCCATAACTTTTACATTTTTTATTTAAATGCTTTGAAACTCATTCTGTAAGGATATATTAATAGTCTAGATAATATGACATGGTCAAATTAGCACGAACTCACGTGCATGCACGTGCGCTTCCCTCTGATTGGCTGAAACAAAGATTTCAATATCTCTTTTGTTTTTTGACGAAATGCTTTGAAATTTTAAACATAGTCATGCATTAGGATATACTACAATATAATATATAGCAGGTATCATGAAAACACGCGCATGCAAGTGCGCTGCAATCTGATTGTCTGAAACATGAAATAGCTATAACTCCGTTGATTTTCAACCAAACAGGATGGGATTTAGAACATAGATAGACATAGTGGATTCCTACAAAAAGGTAAGGTCATCATGCACATGCATGCACGTGCATGCACGTGAGATGGGTAAAATCAAAAATACACTTGATGAAGCGTATTTTTTAATACTTTTGGATTAAATGCTTTATTATTTTATTATATTAATGTATATAGATAGTGTAGACAAGAGAATATGGTCATTACGCACATATTTACATGTGCACGCGTGGAAATGCTAAAATTTGAATATACTCGGTATACTTCAGGGAAACGTTGTTAAAGTGTAAAATGCATAGAGTTTGTCGTTTTTAATGAAGCTTAAAGGGAGTATGGCACCAAAAGGGAGTTGGGGAGCGTTTGGGGAACATCTGTAACGGTTCCCGTTACAATTAGCCCTAGTTATTATTATTAAGGTCTTCCGTCTTCACGGAAGACCTTATAGTTATTGCTCTGTTTCTTATTATTATTATTATTATTATTTTTCTGACACGATTTCTCGACAACTACTGGATAGAATTACATGAAATTTTCAGGAAAGATGTGTTGTAAGATACGTTTGAAAGTTCCAAGACAGTTTTTGGAAATTCCTCTCTGGTGCCAAGTTTTGGACCATTTTCCTGATTTTAAAACGACATTTTGTCCACAATTAAACTCAAAAACGGTGAAAGATATCAATGTGAAACTTTCAGAGTTTATAGATGATGATCAATACTTTCCAGGACGCAACTTTTCATTCGTCGTCAGTACTTCCTGTCGCTACCGGAAGCCTATTCAAAAAGTCCAAATTTTCAACTTTCTTTGTTTTTCAATATTTTTCATTCATTTTTGGAATATTAATAGAGACACTTCTATTGATGATTACTATATAAGTTGTTTTAATATTGGTTAATCTGAACTCTAGATATTAATATTTGAAAATCTGAAGCGGGCCCAAGATGGCGGCTGTCTCTGTCAACTCCGACATTTCGCGAGTAGGGGCTTATGGAGGCAGCTGAGCGTTATTAAACCATTCTGACATAACTTGAAAGGATACATGAAATGCAAAAAACTACTTGGACTCTCACGTAGTAGTACGTTGCAATTCAGTGTCAATCTTAAAAAACTTAATTTCCGTTTCACTGCTTTAGTGTTACTGCCTACTGGGCTAGATACGATATGTAATGTGTACAATGTGTTAAATATACTTTCCTAATGCCGAAATAAAGTAAAGGTGATAAGAATGTTTTATTTAATTAATTACATTGAAGCTATTGTGCCTCTTTAAAAGATAGTACAAAGAAAAGGTGCGAATATTTACGCGTGGCGTTTGACACGAAATTATGAATAGTGGCCCGCCTTTTATGATTCTTAGACAGGTGTACTGTTGCAAAAGTATACACAAATATATTTAAAGCAGTATTCCCAATAGCTAAATGGTTCGCGCGTTGGGGAGAAAAGAGAAAAAAGGCGCATTCACGTTGGCGACCTGGATTCACTCCTCCTTGTGATCAAAATTTTGAATCACTTTTTAGCTCGATTTTACAAGTTTTTTTTCCTGAATCGGACGGAAGACCTCTCGTTGCTCGCAACGAGATCGTATCTAGTTATTATTCTTTTTTTTCTTCTTTGTTCTCCGGTACTTTTTTGTCCGCGAGTGTTCTCAGAAACTGTTCACCCAACTAAGCTAAAACCTTTTTAGGGTTAATAGGTGTGTAGTGTATGTGTGCGGAACGAAGGTCATTTTGCGCGCATACGCCTGCACGTGCGTGCGCGTGAAATGAGTGAAATGACCGATATACTTAATATCGCTATAACTTTTACATTTTTTAATTAAATGATTTGAAACTCATTATATAAAGATATATAAATAGTGTAGATAATATGACACTGTCAAATTAGCACGAACTCACGCGCATGCACGTGCACTTCGCTCTGATTGGCTGAAACAAAAATCTCAATATCTTTTCTGTTTTTTGACGAAATAATATGAAATTTAAAATATAGGCATACTTTAGGATGTTCTACAATATTATGTATAAAAATCGTCATGAAAACACGCGCATGCACGTGCGCTGCAATCTGATTGGCTTAAACTTTAAATGGCTATAACTCCCTTGTTTTTCAACCAAACAGCATGGGATTTAGAATATAGACAAACATAATGGACTCCTAGAAGAAGGTATGGTCATCATGAACATTCTTGCACGAGCATGAACGTGCGCTTCGTTCTGATTGGCTGAAACAAAAATCTCAATATCTTTTTTGTTTTTTGACGAAATGCTATGAAATCTAAAGTATATAAATACTTCAGGATGTACTACAATATGATATATAACAATTGTCGTGAAAACACGCGCATGCACGTGTGCTGCAATCTTATTGGCTAAAATTGTAAATGGCTATAACTCCCTTGTTTTTCAACCAAACAGGATGGGATTTAGAACATAGACAGACATAATAGACTCCTACAAGAAGGTATAGTCCTCATGCACGTGCATGCACGTGCGTGCATGTGAAATCGGTAATATTAAAATACACTTAAATGAGTGTATTTCCTAATACTTCTGGATTAATTGATTTGTTATTAAGTATATTAAAATATATATATATAGTGTAGACAAGATGATGTGGTCATTACGCACATGCATTCAGATGAGCACGCGTGCAATGCTAAAATTTAAATATATTTTGTATTCTTCTGGGAAAACGCTGTTTAAGTCTAAATGCATAAAGTGTGTCTTACTTAATAGCGCTTACAGGGAATACGGCACTCAAATGGAGTTGGGGAGCGTTTGGGGAACATCTGTAACGGTCCCCGTTACAATTAGCCCTAGTTAACATTAAAATTATCTACTTAATTTTCAGAAAGCTTGTAACATGTATGATAGGTAAGAAAACCTAAGTTTGATCAAATGAAATTATAACTAAAGATAACGAACAGCGATTGATCTAAAAACAACCGATGCTAACCTAGGAACAAGGCATAAATCCCGGATCTCTGGAAATTCCAGTCTGGCTCGTATCGTGGAGGAATAAACATCCCCTATCCACACGCGAGTTGATCGGATATACACTGTAAGGATAAAACCATGGTAGGATTTAATATGAAAACAACAGCCTAGCAATGTGTATGAAATATACAAATTGAAATACGACCTAATGTTAGGGTTTCTTTACAAAAGAATCATATAACGACCATATAATATACAAGATGTTGACTTTAAACTTGTCCATGAGTATGTCCTTGCTTTTATCATTATGAAACTTAATGGTCAGTAATTTGCCTGGGGTTAAAAATTGATTGTACTCACTCAGAACATGTCCTTGAGTATAGAATAAGTGTAGACGTAAGCATGCGCATCATGGAATATCAAGTGTAGTGCTACATAAAAGTGGGAATATTAGCTGATATCAGCTAAATTTTTTTCATACAGTTTTAGTTGATCCTTACCGTCTATATAGTCAGTATCCAAATATGAAGCATAAAACGGGGTTTCTGAAATAAAGTAAATGTATGGCAAGCCTGTGGTAGTTTTCTTCAACTACTCAGCATGTTAAATGTAACATTACTTACAAATACAAGTACTTACTTGAACTGAATAAATTAAGGAATTAGATTCTATGGAAGTTTTTTTGTTGTTTTATTTAGAGCCCTGGCGGCAGAACAGGGAAATCCAATACCCGAGAAACCGATCGTCTTCATGAAACCTACGTCATCTTTCATAACAGAGGGACAGTCAATAAAGGTAAATTAATCATCAATGTTTCTTTTAAAAAGCGTTTCATCTTCACTTACGCAGGTATTATATGTTTTCAAATTAAAATATATATATAGATCAAGTCCTATCACTTTAATCTGTCGAAAGATGAATCATATTTTCATTACCTCAGAAATTCATTTCTTGTTCTGTGGTATCAAACTTTTAAAAATATTTATCTGTATTGTTAACATGTGAGTTATAATTCATTTCATCTCTAGATTTAAACTTAGTTTGAAGAAAAAAATCTCATATATATTGATAAGTTATTTGTTTTATTTCAGTGAATATATTAACAAGTTCGCTTAGGGGACGACCATTTGATCCTGAGGGGGGGGGGGGGGGGGCTGGCAAATTTTTTTGAGACGGATTATTTATTTTCATGCCTGTCGAGGACAGATAATTTATTTTCAAGATTATCAAGGACAGATTATTTATTTTCTTCTATGTCTTACCGCACCTTGATCAATTGATTCTAAAAAGACTAATCATTTATATACAGGATTTGGGGAGGGGACAGGTATAACTTTGTTTAGGCAAGAGGTCTGGGGCCGCTGTAAGGGCTCCAGTGGGTCCTGGGCGAAGCCCTGGTGGAGGCCAAGGGAGTACATCCCACCCCCACCCTGCCCACCCCCGACGCTCTTGGGGTTTCATGTATTTTAAGAGTAAAACCACGCACTATTATAGTGGTATTGGTTATTATGAACCAAAGTATCACATAATCAATACTGGTCATACCGTACTTTGAATGAAGTATTCAGTTCAGGAAGCAAAGCCACCTGAAGCTCTTGGGTTTTTCAATATGTATAAGAGTAAAACTTTTGTAGGAATTGGTTAGATGTGTACCAAAGTATGACATTATTAAGTTATATCATACTTTGAATGAAAAGGGCCCAGGGGGTGAAGCCCCCTGAAGCTCTTGGGTTTTTGTGTATTTTAAGAGTAAAACTAGGCACAAAAATATTGGTATTGTCCCAAAGTATGGCATTATTATTATTATTCGTATCATACTTTGAAATTTTAAGGGATGGCCTGGGGTCGTAGACATGTACGTCCCCCATAAATCCGCCAGTGTATATTTTGTATTAATTTATCTGGAAAGTATAATTATTCGACAAGAAAATTTATCTTTAATGGTGTATAAGAATTGGTTTGTATTTAAAGTAACTGTTATTCATCACACCTACTAAGTGCACATTGTCATGTTGATAATCTGACTTAAGTATCCAGTCTGGTAATCTGATTTTAAATACTATATTTGGTTCTAAAATGGCGAGCGAAGCGAGCCAAAAAATTTTTTGAATTGAAGACTTTTGAGATTAAATTACACGTAAATAAAAAAGGTATTTTTACAATATTTAATTATCAGAAGTCAAGGTCAGATTATTTATTTTCTCTGTAGTGGAGGACAGATTATTTATTTTCAACATTTTCAGGGACAGATTATTTATTTCCAAAATCTGCCAGGCCCCCCCCCCCCCCTCAGAATCAAATGGTCGTCCCCTTACAATGAATCTACGTGAGAGCGAAATTTATGTGTTTACTTTTTCTTTAAATTTTTTTTGAAGATTCCGTTGGGATGTGAACGCTTGTATTTCGAAGTGGAGCTAGGAGTAATCATAAGCCGCAGATGTTCGAACGTCAAGGAACAAGAAGTAGATAACTATATTGGAGGATATTGTCTGGTTCTAGATATGACAGCACAGGATTTTCAAGTAGAAGCTAAAGCCAAAGGACATCCCTGGTGCTTGGCTAAAGGTTTCGATACGGCGTGTCCAGTCAGTGCATTCATCCCGAAGCCTATGATAAGAGATTATAACGACATTGAACTGTGGTTAAAAGTCAATGATGTCACGAAACAGAGGAGCAGTACCAGTGACATGATATTTAGTATTCCCCACGTGATCAGTTACGTAAGCAGTTACATCACACTGGGGGAGGGTGACGTTGTCATCACAGGTTCGCCTGCTGGTGCCGGTCCGGTTCAAGCAGGAGAACTAATCGAAGCCGGTCTTGCTGATGTTATGTCCATGAAGTTCCCAGTAATTGTTTGACTCAAATTAAAACACCATCATTTAAGCTTGCAATATAAAGTATCATTATTAAATCTAAATGTTGATCTAATTAGAGTAACCACCCGTGGTCCGAACAAAAAGTTTAAAAGGTTCAGCAAAGCAGTTAATTGATGTGTTTGAAAGTAATAAAACATGCAGATAGAAACAGCAACAACAAAATAGCTAAAATTTAAATTCATTGCAATCCCGAGTTTAACTTTTTTTTTTAGCTCTACTGGTCAGAGACCAGAAGAGCTTATGCGATAGTAATGCGTCCGGCGTCCGTCCGTCTGTCCGTCTGTCTGTCCGTCTGTCTGTAAACAATTTTTTAAATTGCTACTCCTCCTACAGTTTTGATCTGATTTCAATATAACTTGGCACACAAGTAGACTACACTAAGATACATAATTCTGTGTATCGGTTTTTGATTTCGATGAACGGTGTTGCCGTGGTTACTAAAAATAGAAATTTCTGTAAAATTCTTTTAAAATGCTACTCCTCCTACAATTTTGGACTGATTTCAATATAACTTGACAAACAAGTAGACTACACTAAGATACATAATTCTGTGTATCGGTTTTTGATTTCGATGAACGGTGTTGCCGTGGTTACTAAAAATAGAAATTTCTGTGAAATTCTTTTAAAATGCTACTCCTCCTACAATTTTGGTCTGATTTCAATATAACTTGACAAACAAGTAGACTACACTAAGTTACATAATTCTGTGTATCGGTTTTTGATTTCGATGAATGGTGTTGCCGTGGTTACTAAAAATAGAAATTTCTGTGAAAATCTTTCAAAATGCTACTCCTCCTACAGTTTTGGTCTGATTTCAGTATAACTTGGCGCACAAGTAGACTACACTAAGATACATAAATCTATTTATTGGTTTTTGATTTCGATGAACGGTGTTGCCGTGGTTACTAAAAATAGAAATATCTGTAAAATTGTTTCAAAATGCTACTCCTCCTACAGTTTTGGTCTGATTTCAATATAACTTGGCACACAAGTAGAATACACTAAGATACATAATTCTGTGTATCGAATTTTAATTTCGATGAACAGTGTTGCTGTGGTTATTAAAAATAGAAATGTCTGTAAAATTGTTTCAGAATGCTACTCTTCTACAGTTTTGGTCTGATTTCAGTATAACTTGGCGCACAAGTAGACTACACTAAGATACATAAATCTATATATTGGTTTTTGATTTCGATGAACGGTGTTGCCGTGGTTACTAAAAATAGAAATATCTGTAAAATTGTTTCAAAATGCTACTCCTCCTACAGTTTTGGTCTGATTTCAATATAACTTGGCACACAAGTAGAATACACTAAGATACATAATTCTGTTTATCGAATTTTAATTTCGATGAACGGTGTTGCTGTGGTTATTGAAAATAGAAATGTCTGTAAAATTGTTTCAAAATGCTACTCTTCTACAGTTTTGGTCTGATTTCAATATAACTTAGCACACAAGTAGACTACACTAAGAACATAAAGAGACTTTGTCAATGATCATTATTCTACTTATTGCTGTTGTAAAGTTTCAAATTCCAGCTGCTTAAGTACTTTACTCTTCCTTTGCTATAAGTTCAAACCAGTAGAGCTTCAGTCTCGACAGAGACTTCTGGTTATAAATGTCAAGGTCTTCTCACTTGTACTTTGTAGCAAGATTCTAGTTGACCTTCTGGTCATGGGCAAGGAATACTTTGTATAAGATGATTTCTGTCTGAAACCGATGAAAATGTCTACTAAGTGCCAAAATAACCCCCCCTTTTATACCCACCGCTTGAAAAGCAAGGGGTGTATAGTGATGGAGATGTCCGCCCGCTACGATTTGGGGAACTCATTTCTTTCCGTAACTTTTTTTATTCCACTGAATTGAATTTAATAGACTTTCATGCCCGCTACGATTTGGGGAACTCATTTCTTATCCGTAATTTTTAGCTTTTCTGGTCAGAGACCAGAAGAGCTTATGCGATAGTAATGCGTCCGGCGTCCGTCCGTCTGTCTGTCCGTCTGTCTGTAAACAATTTTTCAAAATGCTACTCCTCCTACAGTTTTGGTCTACTTTCAATATAACTTGGCACACAAGTAGACTACACTAAGATACATAATTCTGTGTATCGGTTTTTGATTTCGTTGAACGGCGTTGCCGTGGTTACTAAAAATAGAAATTTCTGTGAAATTCTTTCAAAATGCTACTCCTCCTACAGTTTTGGTCTGATTTCAGTATATCTTGGCACACAAGTAGAATACACTAAGATACATAATTCTGTGTATCGGTTTTTGATTTCGATGAACGGTGTTGCCGTGGTTACTAAAAATAGAAATTTCTGTGAAATTCTTTCAAAATGCTACTCCTCCTACAGTTTTGGTCTGATTTTAGTATAACTTGGCACACAAGTAGAATACACTAAGATACATAATTCTGTGTATCAGTTTTTGATTTCGATGAACGGTGTTGCCGTGGTTACTAATAATAGAAATTTCTGTGAAATTCTTACAAAATGCTACTCCTCCTACAGTTTTGGTCTGATTTCAGTATAACTTGGCACACAAGTAGACTACACTAAAATACATAAATCTGTGTATCGGTTTTTGATTTCGATGAACGGTGTTGCCGTGGTTACTAAAAATAGAAATATCTGTAAAATTGTTTCAAAATGCTACTCCTCCTACTGTTTTGGTCTGATTTCAATATAACTTGGCACACAAGTAGACTACACTAAAATACATAAATCTGTGTATCGGTTTTTGATTTCGATGAACGGTGTTGCCGTGGTTACTAAAAATAGAAATTTCTGTGAAATTCTTTCAAAATGCTACTCCTCCTACAGTTTTGGTCTGATTTCAGTATAACTTGGCACACAAGTAGACTACACTAAGAACATAAAGAGACTTTATCAACGATCATTATTCTATTCATTGCTGTTGTAAAGTTTCAAATCCCAGCTGCTTAAGTACTTTTCTCTTCCTTTGCTATAAGTTCAAACCTGTTACCAGTAGAGCTACAGTCTCGACAGAGACTTCTGGTTTTTTATTCCACTGAATTGAATTTAATAGACTTTCACAGAACCTTTGTTGCATACTGCCCACCTCCTATTTTACTTTTTTTCGGGTTTCTTGTAACAAAACATCTTTCCATAATATTGATGGATACCAATCTCTTAACCGCAACGTTAACACAATTTGTCATAAGTTTACCTCGTTTTAGAAATTGTTCATACGTGTATCGTATCTATTTGGAGCAATTATTCCTCCAAAACATCAGAGGTGGGATCAGGTGCTATGAAGAAGTGAGCATCCCCTGCCGACCGGTCACACCCGCTGTATGCCCCTAGTCATGATCGAGAAATAACGGGAAAATCCGTCGTCAATTCAGTATATAAGTAATAGACTAACAATTAGTATGAAACACGTCAGTCAGCTTTTGACTCAATTATAAATTTTATATGCTGACAAGGTCATTGTATCGACCATAGAACATATGAAATGATGACTTGAAACGAGAATGCTGAAATTCTTGTTTTATCAACTTGTATGTCAATAATTTACCTCGGTTTAGAAATTAATTCATACCTAGAGCATGTCCTTGCGTATCGAATCTATTGGGATACATAAACTCCGTATGCAGGTGATGAAGGTATATTGCTGCATAAGTAAGGGACTCTGACGATAGAAAAGTTAAAGTCATCACGTTTATCATAAAGCCAGTTGTTAGATAATCATTAACGCCTTTTTTCAAGATCTGTCAGATTCTGTGGTATCTTTTATTTCAAGCTCACCAAGGTATATCGTATCGACATATAAGAGTGGAAATTACCATTGTTAAATGACAATACGTCGTCGATATATCTAAATAGCACAGTATTTGTAGAGTCTTCTCTATAGTCGCGAAGGAGTTGATCCGTACATCGCTTGTCAGATTTTTTTGCCTAAACCTTCTTTGATACAGTTTTAAACAGACCTGAAATACAAAAATTATTATGCCCTCTCTTCAGGTGTAATTGTGGACACTGTGTGGACATGCCTACAAACAGAGAAAACAAGTGCTGCCGAAACACCAACATAGTAGATGAAATCTCTCTAATGTTTTACTGAGCATGAAGGTTTCATTGTAAATTGTTTAAATCGTTATGTGTTAGAGACTTCTTACTATGAACACATACAGGATAATGGCAGACAAAATGAGAGAGAACCCGTTCATGAGTAAGTTTTATAGGCAGGTCAAGGGAGGGAGGTGTTCCTACCATTAGGGATTTCAACATTGTTGATTATAGGGTTGTCCCTAAAACCCGGGGCTGGAGAATTTCCCTGCCTATATAATAATGACCTGATCTCCCAGTTACTCTGTAATCCCGTCTTAAACCCCTCTTTGCGGAGGAATCCCAACCCCTTCTATCACTTTTAAATGTTCCCTGAGCTATTTCAATTCTTAGGGACAAACCTGTTGAAATATCAAAACATGAATTTTATTCTACCCTTTACAATTCATAGAACAATGACTTAACAGGAAAGACAATACACAAGTTAAACTCAATCTAATGGACAGACCACTTTCCCTCACTTTTCCTCCACATCTGGGAAACTGCACCATATGCCCTCATTAACATTACACACGTGATTTAAAATAGAACACCGCTTCTGGTACACCATCTCCGCCACTACTCATTGCATACCAATAAGTGTGATTGCTGATGGACCTTACCCAATCTCCAACCATTTCACAGTTTTTCTTTTTGCTCACAGTTTCTAACTTCTTGTAAGTTCTAAGGCAAAAATTTTATAGCTCTACTGGTCAGAGACCAGAAGAGCTTATGCGATAGTAATGCGTCCGTCGTCCGTCCGTGTGTAAACAATTTTTCAAAATGCTACTCGTCCTACAGTTTTGGGCTGATTTCAATATAACTTGGCACACAAGTAGACTACACTAACATACATAATTCTGTGTATCGGTTTTTAATTTCGATGAACGGTGTTGCCGTGGTTACTAAAAATAGAAATGTATGTAAAATGCTTTTAAAAATAGAAATTTCTGTGAAATTCTTTCAAAATGCTACTCCTCCTACAGTTTTGGTCTGATTTCAGTATATCTTGGCACACAAGTAGAATACACTAAGATACATAATTCTGTGTATCGGTTTTTTATTTCGATGAACGGTGTTGCCGTGGTTACTAAAAATAGAAATGTTTGTAAAATGCTTTTAAAATGCTAT